CTCTGACCAACTAAGCTACGAGAGATGACAACAGCAACAACGACAAACCGTACTTATTAGGTCACAAATCCGTCGAACTAATGTGAATATATAGTGAATATACAATACTATGATTAAGCATACATACAATTTAGACATCTTTTAGAAGTGAGTTAGTTTAATATGACAGATTATTCCGAGAATTCATTTCTGAATTTTTACCCACTACAAACTACTTCAAATTAATGCTCTGAGCATTGGCGCGTAAAGCCAAAGGTCCCGTGTTCGATTCCCGGCAGGGGTGTAACAACAGCAACAATTTTTCCTTCATTAATTTGAGGTAGCGTGTAGTGGGTAAAAAATATTTCATATTAAACTAAGTCACTTCTAAAAAGATGTCTAAATTGTATGTATGTTTAATCATAGTATAATCAGTGTATAGTTACATCAGTTCGACGGATCGTTAGCCTTGTAGGTCGGTTGGCCGTGGTTGCTGTTGTCACCTCTCGTAGTTTAGTAGTCAGAACATTGGTGAGTAAAGCCAAAGGTCCCGGGTTCGATTCCCGGCGAGGGTGTGACAACAGCAACAATTTTTCCGTCATTAATTTGAGGTAGTGTGTAGTGGGTAAAAAATTCAGAAATGAATTTTCAGAATAATATTTCATATTAAACTAACTTCCAAAAAAGATGTCTAAATTGTACGTATGTTTAATCATAGTATATTTAGTATATAGTTACATTAGTTCGACGGATCGTTAACCTTGTAGGTCGGTTGGTCGTGGTTGCTGTAGTCACGTCTCGTAGTTTAGTGGTCAGAGTATTGGTGCGTAAAGCCAAAGGTCCCGGGTTCGATTCCCGGCGAGGGCGTGACAACTTGAGGTAATTTATAGTTGGGTATATAAATGGAAAATAAACACGTAATTTGAAAATTCGAAAAGGTTGTATGTTTAGAGCAGAGCGAGGGTCGAAACCAGAGCCGGGCAAACTTTAACTTCGTAGGAGTCGCTACCTGAGGTTAGTTAGGGTCACTCCATACCCTTCAATGGGTGGGTACGAGAGAGTAAGCAGTAATGACCCATATTGCTTTCTCTTTTTTTCCTTTCTTTCACTCCCGCATCAAGCCCCTTCATCCCTTAGACGAGCAAAGCCTCTCTCGTAACTTAAAAAATACTTACGAAAATTGTCTAATAATCGTCCCGCAGCTCAGGGGTAGCATGCCGGACTACGTTCGCAATACTATTGGGTTCGACTCACCTACGAAATGGAAGGGATAAGGAAAGGAAAGAATCATCTCACTTGCACTTACAGAAGCAATGAGGAGTTCCTTGGCTATACCTGAGGAGCACTCGGGAGTCAAAGGAGTCGAGTTTTCCCGGCTCTGGTCTAGACTAGACGAGGAGAAGAAAGGAAGGAATGAGGAGGTATTGGAAACAGTAGAAGAACAAAGTGGGCTATGGTCGTCAATAACAAATAGACCAGATAGACTGCTAGACACCTTTTTACACATTGAGGACTATTTAGAAGCATATTAGGAGCAGAAATAGGAGTTATGACGGATAGAATTAGACTTAGATTAGATATCCCTAAATAATTAGGAAGATGGGATATTCTAATTTAAGGCAAATGCGAGGATTGACTCACGATTAGCAAGTTAACAACGTCTTCCTAAATTGGATAGTCAGATAACTTTATAACATTTACAATACCATAGATGAAAAATCTGAGAAGCCAAGGTGGGATCCTTGAATGATTCCATTAGACCATCAATATTAACTACTGCAGTCGACTCAAATTATCTCCTGTTGATGTTCTTAGACACTACATACGAAATTGTTAATAAAAATAATAAAAATGAGAGAGATCGTCCAAAATATGAAGTATTTACCTAGAGACATAATAGTACCTTCATAAATGTACCTTGGAAGTCAACCCAATATGGTGGACGTTCCAAGACGGCGCCTATTTCTTTCAGAATTCATTTTTAATTTTTGTCTTCATTCATAAATAAAAGTGATTGAGAAAATTCCTCCTCATTTACATTTCTTTAATAGTCTCAATTGTTTCAAAAGTGGGTCGCGTTCAATTTAGATCACACTGTATTTGTACAATTACGTGTATACAAAGAAACTGAATTACCCGCCAAGGCGACCGAGGAAACGGAAGCATTACACTTTCATAAACCCGGTCTCTATTCTTGAGAAATGAAAAACGCGGTTTATTTCTAAACAGTCCTAAGATACATACATGTGTGGGTAGAAAAACACAGTTAAATATGTATGCATGGGCATATACAGAAAAGAAAAAATGGGTGCCCTTAATAGGTACATAAAACATCTAAACAAAGAAGACAATTTCTGAACCAGGACTCAACAATTAGAACCGAGTAAAAAAACTGTATAGGTGCAACAGACACTACCTACATACGTATTCATGCATAAATAAATATGTGTATGCATCTTCCATTTTTAATTTAGCAAATGCGATATTATACACAGAATTGTGACGTTGCCTATTTGAAACGAACAAACATTTAATATCTAAAAACACAACTAAGATGACCTACTTCTTCAAATGATCTTTTTTTCTGATTCTGTATGAAAATTTGTTTTTTTCTGACATATTAAGGAGTCTCTTTAATCCTTAATTAATCATCCTTTAAGGGTTGCTTAAGAATTCTTAAACTCCTGAAATGAATTGAGATCTCTAAATCCAGAATTATTCCTACCTACATGAATAAGATCAACGTTTCTAATTAATTTTCCTCTTTGGAATTTGATGTGCAATGGTACAATATGCAACAAGTTGAGAAAATGACAGTCAAGTTAGGCACGAATCAAGGTTTTCTTGGAAAATGAGAGAAAACTGTCGCTCGAGTCGAAGCCCTCAGAATGATTCGTGTGATGAGGATAATGCGTTCATAACTAACTAATTGATGCGGTCCAAAGTCAATATCTTGAATTTCAATACAATAATTAGTTAGTATGATGGCTAACAACTTGATATATTTAAGTTTAACCTGGACTATAAAATTTAAAACGGGTCTGTAGTCACAGGTACGCTAGGGCAGGCTCACTCTGCCCTGAAAATTTGTTAGTTTGCTCTGACCGCTAGTCAGAGATTCCTAAGGAATTCCTGGTTCCAGTAATTGAAAATGAAAATAAATAAAAAATTAATTTGAGTTTATTTACTGTTGGTAGCAAAACGGCAGTGGCGACATAAAATATATGTATCGTATTCGGATTATGTCGTAAATGATCGATCTGTCAAAACTGCCAGACGCGGATCGCGATTTCGATCTTTTTGGATTTCATCGGCGCGTCGCAGACAGCTCCGACAGAACACAGACCAACTTGTACTTGCTGTCTTAACAGCGCGTTTTAGAAAATACCACAAATGGCGCGGTAAACGCCATCTGTAGTACGATGCTACATTTTAGGATTACGTATGCTCCAACAAGGTTCATTTAAATATATGGATACCTACTTGCTGAAACGAATCCCGGCGTAGCGAATTCGAAGTGGACCTTGTTGGAGCATACGTAATCCTAAAATGTAGCATCGTACTACAGATGGCATTTACCGCGCCATTTGTGATATTTTCTATGACAATAAGTCGTTCAAGAAATTCTTTTCGGGCGATCTCAGCTTAACCGACGCAGCACGCTCTGGAAGAAAGGTACAAAGAAAATTGTGGATACACATTCCAGGACAACGTGTCCAAAGGTTGCAGAAAGTTGCAGTGTGCACCTTCATCAGCTAGAAATGATGTGGGGGTTTAGCAAATGTGTCCCACATGAATTATCATCTTTTTATTTATTTGGCAAATATTTTGCCCAACTATAATGAACCATTTTATGATTGTTTGTTATCCAGCGACGAAAAGTAGCTGTCGTCTACTGAATCGGTTCCACACACTCCCAAAGCTTCCTTGCATCAAAACAAGATTTTATTGTGAGATTGGTAGATACCAATTGGAATTGATCTTAAAAAGTTTTTGGAAACGGTTCAAATCATCAAAGAATCTCATTCAGTGATCAGTCAAAAGATAGTGAAATTCCTACAGGATAACTCCAGCTAGCATACCGAGAGAGTGAATTTGGCTGGTAACTGTATTCACACCCTCCACATTTTTCTGACGTTTCACCAAGTGATTACCACCCTTTCTGACCCTTGACCACCGTATGAAGCTCAAAACAAGAGGTGATATTATAACCGTAATCCGTCTATTATTTAATTCAAAATCTAATCCTAACTCTATAGATAATGACCGATCAATCGGAGACAGTTCATAATTTTGCAGGTGATAAAACAGAACAGACTATGAACTCTTCAGGTTCTTTCATAACTTGACGATTTGACATTATAAACTATCGAGAAATAATACTATAAATTGTAGATGATTGGTTGCAGTTCACATTCTTTCGCGACAATGATTAGGTGTAAAGTAAAGTTCACAATTATATTGTAATATGTAGGGTAAATAAAAAAAATTATCAGTCAGAAGAAAAGAACTTTTTTGTTAATTTTTAGACAAATTTTTGGAAAATTAAATGCTAAATGTTGACCCTCGCGCTGCTGGTACTCCTCCAACCAAAAAAAAAAAATTAGCCGTCACGCGTCTACACATCTCTTTGGAAACGGCGGCCTTTTCGGTGTGTTTCAATTGCAGTAAAGTTCGTGGTTTGTTTGCACACACCTTCTCTTTAAGGTATTCTCATAAAAATTATCAAGAGGTGTGAGATCCAGTGAGGCCAGTTGAAGGTGCCTCGACGAAAGATCACTCTTTCCGGTTAGTGTGGCAAGCGGCCTAAAATTTGTTGAAATTATCTTTATCCACATTAAAACCACTAAACTCTTACAGTTGAGGAACCAAAAAATTTCTTAACAAGTCACAATACCGTTCACTCTTTACCGTAAATGTTCGCCCTCGCCGGTCTTCAAAAACAGAAGGTCCAATGATGCCTTCACCAGACATGGTAGCTCACACAATAACTTTTGGACTATGTAGTGGTTGTTCATGTGCTATCTTGAATTTTCTTTGGCCCAGTAGCGACATTTCTGTTTGTTTTCATGACCATTTAAGTGAAAATTTGCTTCCTTACTAAACAAGATGTTTTCAAATGATGGAAAGCGTTAAGGTTCAGTTTTTTAACTAACTGAATTTTGTAGGCTGTAATTTGTAAATCGTGCTTCAAAATCTTCTGTAACCACGATTTTTTTATGTCAAGTTCTTTACTGCGTTGGCGAACTCATTGAGACGGATTTTCACGCACTGACACTCTTTAATCGCTTGTTGGGTTCGAGTAGAGCGCAAGCGACTTCGTTTGTGAATTTTTGCAATCGAAAAGGTATTTTCGAACATTCGACTATATTTTCTGATGGTATCGATATAATAGTTGAGCTAAGATCATCCGATCACCATTGCGATTATAGGCGCATATAAAACTAAGTAAAACTAAAATACTGGTATGCAAGGGAAGAAAAATTAGGGGAAGAGCGAATATAAAGATAGGAGATGAAAAATTAGAAGAAGTGGCTGATTTTAGATACCTAGGAAGTCAGATAAGTGAGGATGGAAGGAGTAGTAGGGATATAAAGCAGAGGATACCGCAGGGTCGTGTCGCCTTTAATAAAAAGAAGTCACTTCTATGCTCGCGAACCGTTAATTTAGAAATTCGAAAAAGGTTGTTAAAGGTGTATGTTTGGAGCACGGCGTTGTACGGGTGCGAAACATGGACAGTGGGAGCGGCGGAAATGAAAAGGTTAGAAGCGTTCGAAATGTGGTATTATAGGCGGATGATGAGGATATCGTGGATAGAAAAGGTTAGAAATGAAGAGGTATTGGAAAGAATAGGAGAACAGAGGACTCTATGGAAGACCATAAAAAATAGGCGAGATAGGTTGGTAGGACACCTTCTCAGGCATGAAGGTCTAGTCAGAGACATATTAGAGGCAGAAACGGGGGTTAGGAGGGGTAGAGGTAGGCCTAGATTAGATTACTGTTCGCTAATAGTTAAGGATGTGGGCTGTTCTAGTTTTAGGGAAATGCGAAGTTTAGCTCAGGATAGGAAAGAGTGGAGGTACGTGTCCAACCAGTCTTAAGACTGATGACATTATGACGATGATGCAAAAAGCACGATGGTTTCCCGGATACACTAAACAGTAGTAGTAAAAACAACTTATCCCTACCGCACCCCTCCGAACCGCACCGTTATAGGGACAGCGCAGATACAAGTACCCCTTACACTTTCTGGACACCAAGTACATCGATTAGATTCCATCATTTACAACGTTTTTTATCTACCATATTTTTATCGTCTATCTGTAACGCCACATCTCAGAATCGATTTTGTCGATCTTTGTCTTGTGTTTCTACCATTTTTACATCATGAGTTATCTGACTTCCTAACAGTGGCGGATTTCATCAATTGCCCAGTCTCCAGTTTTGCGTTTCTAGTCTTCTTATGATTTACGAAGAAATCTTTAGCAATTAGAAAAGGATAGAATAAATTTAGTTTAACAAATTGACTGTAGCTTCACAACTTTAGATTTTCTACCTTTGAAATGTTATTCTCCTAGGAAAGACTGTCACGTCGGTACAGGATTAAGTCCGGTGTGACTACCTTAGTTCTCCTTGATTCCGAGGGAATTACAATCAGTAGATCGGCACAAGATAGTCTACTGCAAGATCCAGAAGGAGCCTTATTTCCATGGAAACCCAGACCTGCTGAACAGGTACGAGCTGAATTCGAATTGCTTAGAAAGAATGTTATATTTCGTTAGAGGTTAAAATACCAAATAAAGATTATTTTAATGATCACTGGAACTGTTTGTGTGTCTATCTAAATGTTTTGTAAATTTAGATACTATCAGGAACGACATTACAACAAGGAGGATCCTACAACGTTGATCATCCGAGTTATACTAAAAATGGTTTAACGTACGACGACTTACCGAAGGGTATTCGTGGTTTTTATTTTTGTGCCAACTGGGTATGTACATATAAGTATCTTTACGTATATGTAACCGCACTTTAAAAGCTGGGAGAAAAGGGGTGGTGGACAAAGTTTTGACAATAACATTTGTCCACTACACCACTGTCCCTTCTGTTCCAACTTACGCGTCTTCCTTTAGGAATTGAATTAAACATACTTCCTTGTCTACCCCCTATTCTTAGGAGACTGTCCTCTTGCAAAAAAAAAACAGCACGTGCAACACAGTACACGCGAAACATGTGAAACTTCTTTGGCGATCTCTATACCTTTATAACGAATGAGTAACAATTGGTATAAGAAAGAGAGAGTATGAGAATTTTCAGGATTTATGTTTTCCAACATATTTTATCTTTAGTCCACCTAAGGAGTATTACTTTAATACGTTTTTATGTAATTCAATAACAAAAAAATGGTCAAACTTTTTTCGCTTCCGTTAATTTTTCCAAGTGCTTAAGAAACCGTAAACTATCATTAACTACGAGGAATTTCAGGATTTATGTTTTCCAACATATTTTATCTTTAGTCCACCTAAGGAGTATTACTTTAATACGTTTTTATGTAATTCAGTAACAAAAAAATTGACAATTTTTTTTCGCTTCCGTTTATTTTTGGAAGGGCTTAAGAAACCGTAAACTATCAATAACTACAAGGAATTAGAATTAATACATAATAATCACTCTTAAATAAATATTAATTGTTGTTAAATAAACA